CCCCCAAACAAGAGTCGGAACACCTAAAATCGCCACGAAGCCCAAACCAAATGCCCTGAACCACCATCCCCAGGCTCGCAAACAGCCAAGACAACCCAGCCAGACAACCCCGCCGAAAAACCTCGAACCCCTATACGAACCCTAACCACCGAATCGCTCTCTGCGCCAATCCACCCAACAAACCTGCCTAAGAACAACGATCGGGGCTCCCAATCACCACGAGCAGCATCAACAAACTCAGAAAAAGGCCGGGAGCCACCGCCGGTCCCTCAACCACCAACGGCCAACGAAAGGGGGAAAAGGAAGAAAACGCCATGGCAAAATTGAGGAGAAGAGACAGCGAAGAAGAAGAGGGGCGGTCAGCGACGGCCGCAGGATCGGCCTCGCCGCCGCCGGAAGAGGCCAAATCGGAAGAAGATCAAGGAGCTCGCAGGAGGAGATTTTGTCGCAGGAGGAAAAGGAAGAAAACGCCTTGGTTATTCAAACTTCACCTAATAAGGGCTTGATTGTTTACAAATTATTTTACTCTATTTTATTTCAACTTAAAATATAGCTCAACTTTAACTCAACTCCACTATCTTTAATATTATTCATATAATTAAATAATACAAATCAATCATTCTTACACATCACATCAACTTTAATTCACTATTCATCCATTCTCATAATTTTAACTACCTATCATTTCCAATCATTTATCTCTTACTTTTACATCAAATCAATTTTAATCATTTTATTTTAAATATTATTTTAATACATTCATAAAATTCTACTAACAACTAACTATACACTTTTTTCAATATTAACTATGGTTAACCAAAATAACTCGTTTTGAACAAATTATTCCATAAATAATCAAGCCCTAATGTATCTTTGCGTAGAATGCCCCCATGCGCATACTTATATTCTACACTCTGCTGTGCTTTTTAAAGACCTTTAGATCAGGCTAATTTAATCAAGTGGTCCAAAATTTATGAAGAGGGAGACTTATACTATTTTAAAATGCAAGAGGAGAGATGATGTCACACTTTTATTAACCCCTTTCTTATTGATTTCAAGGAATAAGGGAAATCTCAAAATTCAAGAATTCCTTTTTATCAAAAGAATTTCGTAGAGATATGAATTTATAAACTACTTAACATAATACCTGATTATTATTTTATGCACTCTATTTTTATGTAAAGAATAATGAGTGAATGTTAGTAAAACATATAAATAATCTCTGATAAATTCACATTAACAAACTATTTCATAATACATTCGATATTTATCCACCAAAGAAATTTCGTACGTTATATTGAAAGTGGGATTGTTGTATTTTAAATATTTTAACTGTTGAATATTATATTTTATATTTTTATATAGTTTTTTAATCTAATTTTTTTTATATAGTGAATTTGTAAAATCACTTACAAAATAGGAGTGACAACATATTAACAGTCTTTTGCACAATTTTTAAACCCGGCCCGGGAATCGACCCGGACAGGTCTCTGGGTCACCGGGTCACCGATTCAACCGCCGGGTGGCCAGGTCAATTGTTGACCCGGATAATTAATTTAAAATTTTTAAAATTATATATAGAGTATTTTGTAAATATACATAAAAGTAAAAAATTAAATATTTTGTATATAACATTTGTACACTAAAGTGTTAATAATATTTATATGTACATAGTTTTTATTTTAAATCAAAAAGTACTTTAAAAAAATTAAAAATAAATATTTGGGCCGGGTCAACTGGGTCGACCCAACCAGGTCAATGAGCCGGGTCGACCGGGTCAAGGCCGGGTTGGTCGGGTTTTGACCGGGTTTAACCGGGTCCATTATTGTCCGATCCAATTAGCCCACCCGGACTAGGTCCGACTCCGGGTCGACCGGGTCTCAAAACTATGGTCTTTTGAAAAGTTTAA